AACACCATGTTCAATAATAAAGAATGGTCCTTCCAGCAAGACTCGGCGCCAGGTCATAAAGCTCGGTCTACGCAGTCTTGGTTGGAAACGAACGTTTCGGACTTCATCAGAGAAGACTGGCCGTCGTCTAGTCCCGATCTTAATCCGCTGTATTATGATTTATGTTCAGTTTTAGAGAGTACGGCTTGCTCTAAACGCCATGATAATTTGGAGTCCCTAAAACAATCCATACGATTGGCAGCGAAAAAATTTTCCATGGAAAGAGTGCGTGCTTCTATTGATAATTAGCCTCAACGTTTAAAGGACTGTATTGCAGCCAATGGAGACCACTTCGAATAAGCTTTATAGACTTTAAATTGTTTTATATTTATGTATTAAAGTAACACACTGTAAAAGTAATAAATGTTATTTGCCATAGAATTTTTTTTGTTTTCCTTTGTAACAGTATTTATGGCCAGACTAAGTATATATTGTTGGTTGTCAGAATTTTTTTAAACTTAAGGTACCTTGATTCATGAAATCGAAGTTAGGTGGTTTTTTGCTGGTTTGTGGTGGTCTGGTAATTTTAAAGGCCATTTAAAAAGGACTACACTACGACACTTCGAATTGTATGCATATTTACATAAATAAATAAATATATGTAGTTATTTTAAATAGGATTCCGTTACATTCTGAGTCAGGTATAGTAAATAAACGGTTTTCAAAAAAATGTGTGATTGTAAATAGAGAATTATTAGGTACGTGTGTATTTCACCGCACTCCGGCAAAATGGCTTGACCGATTTTGATGATTTTTTTTGTGCGTTTGATTATTATTCGGTATGGTTTAGATTTATATAATAGATTTATACGGATGCAGTAGATTGTTCGGAAACTGGGTTATTTTTAAGTTTTTTTCAAGGCAGGATATGTTTGTCCTTAGTCTTTATATACGTTTAAGTTTAATTGCTCACGGCCACCTCAATGTTCACCTAGTTTCAAACATTACTCTTGTTTCGGATTTGAGAATTCTTCATTTCTACCAAATTTTCCCGTGAATTACCATTTATTTAAATATCGCACTTATTTCCCTTTTCCGTTTACTTTGTTCGTAAATTTATATGATTTTATTTTTACGTAAGTAATTAGAATACACGTATGTCATGTTTTTGGGTGAACACTATATAGTTTCACGAACTTTGTAGCTTAGGCTCAGTTTTTATATTTTATTCTAAAATATAATGTCTTTGAAATGATGGTTAATTTTTTTCGTTTGCTGCACAAGATAACCTTTTTTGTTTTAATATTCCACCAACTTCCGATCCAGTATAATCCAGAGTATGAATAATCATCACTATGTCCGGTCTAAGATTGATTTTCGAATTAGCATCGCTTTCGTTGTGGCCGTTGGGATACTGAAGTTACTAAATATATCATTTTATTTTTCGACATCCTTATAATTCTTCCTGGAAACTTATCGTAGTGTGCCCAACCTTTGGAAAAGGTGACAAGATTTTCAAATCCTGTTAATTCATGAGATTTCTTGATCATTCATTCATTAGTTTATATGTGATTTCTTAATTTTCGATTTGCCATTGCCAATCAAGGTGAATTCGGTAGAACCACAATGTCTATCATGCATAACACTTCTTTCCCGTACAAGATAAATGATGATAAACAGAGATGATTCTGAGCGATAAGAGAATCTTCCGTCGAACCCTTTATTCGTTATTCGGTTTGTAACCCATATTATTTATTTAAACACTTTTATAAAGATGTTCTAAGTACTAGATGAGTTTTCGAAAGGGCCGCTCAACGGTGGACGCGATCTTCGCGTGCGGGCACTCTCGGAGGAGCCCATCTCCGGGGATGGGGTAGCCTTGGCGGTGTCGCCCGGCATCGCCAATGTGTTTACCGCCTGCCCTGGCCCGTGATAGGGGAGGGCCCTGGAAAGACACGGAGTGCCCCCCTACCTTAGCCGGCTGGTGGGTTCCTACTTGGACGACAGATCGGTCATATGTACCGGACACGGTGGGATCGTGCACCGGTTTCCGGTCGTACGCGGTGTTCCACAGGGGTCGGTGCTCGGCCTTCTTTTGTGGAATATCGGGTATGACTGGGTGCTGAGGGGTGCCCTCCTCCCGGGCCTGAGCGCAATCTGTTGCGCAGACGATCCGTTGGTCGTGGCCTGGGGGGAGGTGTCAAAATCAGGAGATTGGGCCTCAACGTGGCACTCAGTAAATCCGAGGCCACGTGCTTCCACAAGCCACCTGTCAATGACTGTATCGTGGTTGGAGGCGTCCGTATCGGGGTCGGGGTGCAGTTGAAGTACCTGGGCCTCATTCTGAACATTCGTTGCACCTTCCATGTTCACTTTCAGAAACTGGTCCCTCGTTTGTTGGGGTTGGTTGAGAGGCCTGACCAGGTGACGAGCCTCTATACAGGGGGGTGTGATCAATGGCCCTATACGGGGCGCCCGTGTGAGGCCAACGGCAACGGCCGCAACGCACCATCGCAGTCAGGGTCATCGGTGGTTATCGCACCATCTCCTTTGAGGCGGCGTGCGACTGGCTGGGACGCCGCCTTGGATTTAGAGGCGGAGGTGGAAGCGCTCGCCACTGGCTATCAGTGGCGGGCTGACCTTCGTGTCCGGGGCGTGGTGCGTCACAGCCCCGGTGTGCTCAGAGCACGGAGGGCCCAATCTCGGTGATCCGTGCTGGAGTCATGGTTCAGGCAGCCAGCCGATTCTTCAGCTGGTCGTACGACCTTCGAGGCGATTCACCCGGTCATTGTGGATTGGATGAATCGTGACAGAGGACGCCTCACTTTCCGGCCCACGGAGATGCTCACCGGGCATGGTTGCTTCGGTGAGTTCCTGCACTGGATCGGATCCGAGCCGTCGGCAGAGTGCCAGCATTGTGGTTGCGACTTGGACACGACAGAGCATATGCTCGTCGTATTTATAGATTTCTCATTGAAAATTAATCTTCGAATTTTCGAGCAAATTCACGGTGGTACCGTTATAAAACCAATATTTAATGCGTACTGCAAAATGAACTTATACATTTTATATAGCCAAGTTTCCCTTACGCACACGATTACCATTTTGAATTTAATTATCTAGTACTCCTATATGAATCAAAGAAGGTAATAAAAAAAGGAAGTTCATCACATTAATTAATTAGTTCAATTTATCGATGCTATATATTTTTTCGTTCAATTTTAGATTTGCATTTCCAAGCTTAAGTGAACAGAATGATTAACAACTGAGATTTTAGTGCTATAGGTACATATTTGTATAATAATATGTGATCATCGATAATTGAACCACCTTTTTAGTGGGCAGAATAAGAATTATAAATTTCTATACACACCTGAGTGTAAAAGTACCCTAAATGATTGTTTTCGTATATATATTTTTTTTTCTCATTAAGAAATTCAGAATTTAATTTCCCCCTAATTATACTGGCACCAGTTTTTTTTCTTGTGTTTACCTTTTTTGGGGAACGGAAGGATTATTCGAACAAGCCTTTAAGGTGGTTCAGGTGGATCTATCGTATCTACAACATCAACGGTGGCTAACTGCTAGCCACGGGTTCTGCCGCAGTATCAAAAACGTTATTGGTACTCTCACGTCGAGTCTGAGTATGGCATGCACGGTGTAACCTGATAGTGTACTTGGTAACCGTCTTACACTGATCACCAAATATAATAAAATTGGAAATAAAGTCATTACAAAACATGAATACTAATGTCATTGTACCTAATAACGGGCAGAACAATAAGCAAGTATGTTAAAGACTTCAACCTAGATAATATCGTGATTAATCAAAGGAATTGCTGATTATTTGCTTTCTTATCATTTTGCAACTATTCTACAAAATATTTCGAAATTATTTATTAGGTATATTGTTATCACTTTTGCTGCAAAAGCCATGTCGATGCGTGGATTAAATTTAAGTTGATAAAATTAATGTATTTTTTCTGATAACGAGACTTAATTGAGTTGATAAAAAAGTGTTCGATAAAATTGACGTAAACTGTCAACAAGTTTTTTTTTTTGTTTTGTGGTAAAATTCAGATTTTATACGAGTATTTAGCTTGTTTTTTAATTACTTAATACATTCATTTATTAACAGACTTTAAGAAAGTACGTAGACAGTTCAATTCTGATTAATCTATAACACATATTGACATATTTGAGTATTGTATTAATACTCTTAACATTGTTAAATATCTGCGTTTTAAAAAAACTGTTGAAAGGAGTCAGTTCTTCCTTTAAAAGTATTTTGTAAATTATATGGCCAATTGGATGTTGTTTTAAAAAAAAAGGTTACTGAATGAATAGCCTCCTCATAACAGGATATTTTACAACATTCCGCAATACGAAATATTTGTGCTTATGTCAGATGTTTAAATATTGTCATTGGCCAAACAGTCCGCGCGATTTCTACTTATATTGTACAAAACTTATAAAACGACTCACTAAAATATGACTAATTATATGGAAATTAAGAGGACCGATCTCAGAATTCATATCACGATATGCCATTAGAAAAATAGGGTTTGTTAAAACAAAATATTTTACTTTAAGTGGTCTGGTCTAATGTATGTATATATGTATATAAATATTCTTTATCTCGTTGCCTTTAGTGTTTAATTTTTCCTTTATTAAGTTAAGTATTATTCAGTAAAACTGTACTCTCATACGAGACTGTGGTTTTCTTTGTTGTTTGAAACGTTTCAGTGAAATAATAACCTACTCATGTATCTAATTTTAATACAAGAATGAAAAGCGAAAGGAAATGAAATAATGATTACAAAAAATAACAATTCGCAGTAGATAATTTATGAATGCAAGTAGCTTATTAACGATCGTAACCAATTAGTAAATTAATCGTTAAGCATGGCATGAAAACTTATAGTACGCTAGCTTTATTAGTCCTACTGAGTCGCCAATTGCAGAAAGAATCACAGAGATTAACACTATAAAATATTCTATGGATTATAGAGGTCACTTACCTTTTATTTCTTCTGTATTCCTGACTTTTTGTGTGACCGATACGAACTTGGGCCCGATGTGGACCCTCGATGATTTGGACACGTTAAGCTGTGATATAGGCGGCGAAACTGCTGCACGTGAAGCTGATGCTATCATTCGTTCGTCCATCAAAACGAAGTCAGAACTGCAGTCCGGACGGTACATCATCGCAAGTTCACGTTCTCCGTCACTATCGCTCCACATGATTAGCACCGATGTAAACGAAAAAAAAAAAAAAAAAACAAATGGAACAACACAATGAGTGAAGCGTGAGTAACCACTGAGACGACGGCTCGCTCTGTCTATCAAACGCGTCTAAGTTCGTTTCTTTTGCAGAAACGTTGGCTGATAAAAATTGTAGTAATAACCAGAATATGTCGGACAACTATAGCCTTCCTATTCTATCATTTACCAGAAACTCCCGTCGGTTACAATCACCTGAGTTTCTCTATAAATAGCAATGCTTATTGAATTTGTGCAACGATTTTATAAGCGGTACTAAAAAGAAATTGATGATAAGTCACTTTAGTTGTAATTGACGAGTTAAATTTATATTTATTTTACTAGAGAAAATCACTGTCGCTGCACCCTTGTTCACATTATCGTTTCGCTTACAAAAATAAATTATCGCGTCGCGATACAATTGATGCAGAGCTGATTTTGATAACAGGCAATCAGCAACACCGAACTACTAAGATTTTTGAACATTTTCATTCATTCGAACTTCAGGTATGTACTTCGCTTTTAGCTTAACTATTGCTAATTGGTTCCGATCCGGTAGTAGATTAATTTGCTAAACAGCTGCTCTTGAGTTGTTAAGTCTCCTTTGGAGGCGCTCGGGCGGCTGTTGTCAAGTCCCACCCCTCCTGTCTGAGCCTTTGCTCGCCTACCTGTCATGGTAAAACTGAAAAGGCCTCCGGGCCACCAGTAATGACTCAATCATAAAAAAAATATTGCTAATAAGAAATGAGTAAAAAATGCTTACAAACAGAAATTTTCATTCGACAAAAATCTAATGTACAGTATCATCTTTCAGTAAAACTAAATTTTCAATTCAAGCAAAGGTATTTATTTTAATACTTCGTGTGTTTATGAGAATCTGACGGAACACCTGATGCCACGCGATAGTTTCGTAACAAAGGAGTGAGTTTGTCGTGAAGAGCAAGATATTGAAATGTGTCGGTGGATGTCGGTAAACAGGGAGTAAGGCTCAAACGCATCATGTTATTATGACATACGACACGACGCCACCGCTCCATAGGAGTGTGTTCGAGCCCTTATGTTTAAAAGTTTCACTATCCAGTTGTCAAGATCATTGGAATAAAAAAAATATTTGCGACATTGTATTACGCTTAATGGATCAAGCTTGTTTTTTTAACAACACACAATTTAATTCAGATTGGTATTACATGAATTGATCTCGGTTAGAATCTAGTAAATAAAGAAGCTCAATAAGGAAGGTACATATATTTTGGCCATTTACATATAGTGTATCTTGTATTAGCTATACATATATTTAAATTTTAGTACAACTTGCTTTTTTGTCACACTATGTAGATCTTATTAAATCCGGGCTGTTTTCTAGAAATACCTAGAAATATCTTGTTCGCAGATTACATACACAAAAAAGACGATTGATGGTAGATAACATCGTAATCACAAATATAGCTTTTCTGAATCACTCGAAGACTTGATCATCATCATCATCATCAGCCTTTATCTGCCCACTGCTGGACATAGGCCTTCCCCAATGCCTATGTCCAGACTTGATGATCATGTGTAATTCGGTAAGAGTATATAAATATATGGAATGAATTAACCACTGGTACTATTATACTTGAAAAACTAGGAAGATTATTAGAGAGAATATTAGCGATATTACCAGATCTTATATGAAGATCCGCGATCGATCAATCCACAAAGTAGGTACTGCTGGAACAAAACGAAAATATTGAGTATCCGTGTAAGAATATCTTTAACTCTATTGTATTTGTTTTAACTAAAAAGGAAGTAAACCACAATACAAAGAACTTTTGCCCATAGATGGATTTTTTAAAGGTCTAGTCTATTCCGTCACAGTTTTGGAAATACGTTACGCTTGTCAAACCTCTGAAATACTTAACTCAATAATAAATAGCTGCAAATGCAAAATAGAACGTAATTACGTTAATGCCAAAACGAGTGTTAGAGCCAATATGTAAATTATTAAAAATACTAAAAAGTTGTCAAACAGGTTCTTACACTCTAGTGGAAATGGTTCGGTCGTCGCATCCAAAGAATAACTGGTTGAAGACGGTAAGCGATTATCAATTAGTGTTGTGCAAATAAAGAGATCAAGGTAAATTTAACATTAGTCCTCGATTTCTAATTCAGTTATTGTCAAGCGTTTTGTAAGTTGACATCATTGATTTTTTCCAAACGTTGCATTACAGGATTAGACTCACGTAGACTAGCTCTTGCTCAATAATTACGGCAACAAATATAGGGTTGGCTAATTCATGATGATAGAATGAAGATTAACTGGAAGAGATTTCAGCATGAAATAAGTAGTGCCCTTGTACTCTGTATCCTTATTGACGTGTATTTTCTAACAGCTGTGTGTACAAAATATATTAAATAAATAAATAAAAAAAAATTAATATTTCCGAACTTGATTTTTTGTTGCTCTCAAAAATAGCCTGGTTATAGAGCTCAAAAGAGTTATGTACTTCAATTTTAAACTTAGTTTTTAGATCTTCATAGTTATGGTTCTATGGGAATGGTAGCATAAATAGTTAATGTAGCGAGTTGAATAAGCGCCCGTTGAGTGAAATGGCGACAAGTCTCTGCAAACACCATGTGGTCGCAGAATGCCTTGTTAAAACTCAAGGGGAGAACTTACAAAACGATCATTAGACCTGTCGTGCTGTATCGATCTGATGCTGGGCGACGAAAGTAAAGCATGAAAAAAGAGTGCATGCGGCAGAGATGCCAATGTTGAGATGGATGTATGGAGTGACAAAAATAGACAAGATGAGGGTATATATATATGAATATAAGGAAATGGTAGTGCAAGGTGGGGAAGAGGTCGACCGAGGTAGACATGAATGGAGTGTGTGAATCACGGGATGAGAGAAAGAGGAGTAAGTGTTGAGATGACGGCTGATAGAAAAGAATGGAATAGAAAATTCGCTGTGCAGACCCCACCTAAAGGGATAAGGTGGAGACAAAGACGCCGTGTGGTTCTTAGTCTGGTTTCTTACATATCTGATTATATTATAATTCTCCATTGGTCTCCTTGCAGGAGCCGTAAGGATGTATTTATGATTTATTATTATGTAAATACGTGTTTATTTATTATTTATGAATTATTTTTATTGAAAAATATTAAGGATCTATATACTATATACTATACTACCAGATTCCAGCTACGCCAGGAAGTGTGACCGAACTAAGGGTGCCAGGAGTGACCCGTTCCGATTTAAGGGGGGGGGGGGCGTGTACCTTTAAATCTATATAATCGAGACATGGACCTCACTTCTCAATGTGGGTGACGCCATTCACGTTGAAATGTCTATGGGCCCTTGGTAACCGCTTAACACAAAACGAGCTGTGAGCTCGTTCACCCGTTAAGGCAATAAAAATGAAACCTAAATTGAAACACATAGCCCTAGTTCAAGAAATAGTATTAACTATGTGTTATATTATTGTTTGATTTGCTTTTGTTTGTGCTCGTTCTGGGTCCGCCATTTTAATATGGCCGCGATTTGTGTAGATAATGCTGATTAAATGTGTTTGCCAATATCGTTTTATCTTTAATCTAATTTTTTTAAAGGATTGTATTTGCAATCAGTGTCGCTAGGTTAATTTTATAAGAACAGACATAATATAATATGAGTGCGCATAAAACTTTTTTACTCTTCCGGTCCGATAGATCGTTAGTCATAAGTCATAGTCGTAGTCTTTATACAGCGCAACCTTGGAAACATTGAGTTTGACATTCTAGTTGCGTCAATAAAGCTACTATCGGAGCACTTGAACTTGATTACGCGACAGAAAAAGGTTCGCGGGTTCGCTTAACCTGTTTGTTTCTCAAGACTTCGGGTCTAGTTTTATTAGAAACTAGAAGCCAGTACAATAATGACAGTATCTTTTTCTGAATGAAACACCTCAACTATGCTTGTAGTATTTTTCCCTATTATACATAAAAAATAAGCAGTAAAACTTCGGTTATTCCTATATATAGTATGTTAATAGTGTATAGGGTAATTTTAAACAAACATCTCGTGTTACAGAAGTGCCGTAGGTATTTTAAGAGGGTTTTGGCCATTTTTTCTTTTCGTCTTAGTTTGGAACCATGTTGTGTAATACCGTGATGTTTGGGGTTATTTTTTTTATTCTACCTATGCTGATAGCCTTGAGAGGCTATTTCAGCGTTGTCCTAGTGTGAAGGTGTTGCTAGCACTGGCTCTAACAAGATCAGTGCTTCGCAGAATCTACTGCCGGATCGGAAACTCGACCCACTGAGAAGATCCGGCGAGAAACTCAGTGGGCGGAGGGTTATAGTAATCGGCACCAGTCTTGAGCTCTGACCTTGATACGTGCAGTAATGCATTTTGGGTCTGTTTGGGGGAACGAGGTAAGAACGGGGGTGACGCCGGCCATATCGATTACGTGATTGGATCTTCCCGCGTCGCGTCACAAGCCGTCAGTTTTGATTGGTTCCCTGTGTTGTGCAAGCGCATCATTGCAACAAACTACGCTTTCTTCTAATTTTATTAACTCAAATGTTAAATGTTATTATCTATATTTATTAACCACATATTTTTTGTCAACCTTATTTTATTCTTCCAGGCACCAACTTCCTATGAATAATGTACTGTGGATAAATGTACATTTAGTACCACAAGTACATATACAATATATATTATTTGAAATTTTTTAGTAAAAGTCGGTTTATTGTTTTTTGTCTTGGACCTTGATCAATACTCGTATAAAAAGATAACTTAAGAACTTGCTTATAACTTCCATAGTTTTTGTATGAAGTAGCTGTAAGATTCTCTTTCAAGCTTATCAATTAGAAATATGATTAGCTATATTATTCAAATGGTTTCCCTGGCACTACAGAAATCAATGAAAATCGACTAAAATCTTAATAGTAATCTTAAAGCTTAATAGTATAAATTC